GAGGCACAGTGGGAAAGGGTTCCTTTACAGATGTGCAGGGAGGACTGAGGCACAGTGGGAAAGGGTTCCTTTACAGATGTGCAGGGAGGACTGAGAGACACGGGGCTGGGGGCTGGTGGGGTGTGCTGGTGTCACACTCGGAAGGCAGCTGGATGGAGGCCCCTTATGATTCCTACACCTGAAGGAGCAGGAAGAAGGAGGGAATTGTTGCTGGAACCTAGACAGGTTGCTCTATGGAGAGGGTATTTAAGAGTGGAGTACAAACGGTAAGAGTGGGATCTTGGTATGGGGAAGATACCCCAGTGACACCCTCCGGCTTCCTGATGGATTGCTGGTACTCATCTTTGGCCGGATCCACGTGGAAACCTGGGGATGTCATTGACGCAGTTCAGCTTCCTAAGGCATCAAGAAAAATCCAGCCCATTATCCAGGGGCCCTGTAAGGCATGGAGTCCGGTGTATGCAATGAAGACAAGGTTCCAGAAGGAGGCAGAAGTCCACTGCTGGGAACACAGAGTGGAGAGGAGAGGCTAACCTCGCTGCCTGGCAGGCTGTGGGAAGAGGGCAAAGGGGCACACCGAGCAGTCAGCACCTGCCTTCCTACTGCCACCTGGTGGTCCACAGAGTCCTTGGGACCATGGAGTGGCCACACTCCTCCTCCTTGGGTCTTCAGAGGCTTTGAGCTTCCTGGATTGACTGGGCTTTCATGGGTGTGTGGGGACACAGGCTGTAAGTGTAAACGTTGGCGGGGCATCAGGAATATATTGCCAGATTCCTCAAGCTTTCCCAGGAATCCCGACTGACTGACAGAGTCTCTAAGGTCGAATCAAGTAAGAGCCACACTCACAACAAACCATGAATAGATGACAGACCCACACGTCTCGATAGATAGATAAACACATCAACGAGAATGGAGAGCTCTTCCTGTAGAATGGCAGCCAGTCAATAGAAGTGATGGCGCTGGAAAATTATGGTAGTCGTTTCAAGAATAATCAATGAATTCTAAAATGAGTGGATAAAAAGTTTGCTGAAGAACAGTTCATTTACAGACTCTTAAGTATCTCTTCGTGAATTACTTACTATTATTACAAAGGGGAAGACAACAATTTTACAGTGGAGAAATCTGACAGACAGTCCCTTGATGAAGTTAGTATTCAAAGGTAATCGTGCCAATTGTGTGGCAAATGGACAGCACTTCCCGCCAGATGTGACCACCAATGAATTCGTGCTCAAAATATGTAGCCTGAATTAAAACCTCGGAAAGGTTGAACTGAGGAACATTCTTCAAATTACGTACTTGGCTGGACTTGTCTTCGGAAAAGTCAAGGCCGAGAAAGACAAAATGTCAAGACCTATTCCAGACTAGAAGACGGAAAAGCACACGGCAGCAAAGTGCGCGAGTGGCGCAGACTTGGTCCTCGTCCTGAACAACAGTTTCTATGGAGGACATCGGGCTAACTGAGAAGGTAGGAATAGAGACTATGCAGTAGATGGTAATAGTCTATCAATATTGAATTTACTGATTGAATCTTTGGACTGCCCTATATCTATGCATGTCCCAGTTACAATTATTTATTTCTGGATCCATCGGTTTCACTGGAGGAGTGAGTTTGCAGGAGAATGAGAAAGATTATTGGATGTGTGGCTGTTTGGAAGGAGCCCAGGTGGTGGAGTGGCTATGCAGTGGGCTGCAATCAGCATGGTCCACAGTTCAAAACCACCAGCAGCTCCAGAGGAAAAAGACTAGGCTTTCTACTCCAGTACATAGTGACAGTCTCAGACACCTGCAGGGGGTCACTATGAATCAGCAGTAACTTGATGGCACCAAGTTTGATTTTGTTTGGAATGTTTTAGAAAATCTGGTCACTTTCACTGGGAGCCCAGCGGCCTGCATAGGATAGGTGCCTGGGGTAAGGGAGGGGATGATGTGATTGTCATTAGGTGACTGTCCATCTCCAGCAAAGAACACTGCGCGGTGGTTTAGCTCAGCAAGGAGACTTTGCTCTTTATGGTCCCTCTGAAGTTGTCGTCAGCCAGGGTTCCCACTTCTTTATGTTATCGAAGCTTCCCACTATAGCTCTGGTGGAGCACAGCAGACCCCCCCAAAGAAAACGAGTCTCTGGAGCATGATAGCTTTTGCTTCTCTGAGAACAAGAAGGGGGGGGGGTCATTTCCCCCTGTGCTAGCTACCCTTCTCTGTGTGTCCAGACAAACATTGGGGGACACTGCTGTGGCCTGAGCACAAAGGTAGAGGGGGAACTAATCCTGCAGTGTTACAGGCTGACATTTGTTCTCAAGTCTCAGCTGCCAGTGAGTGTCTTGGGGGTGAAAGGAGACCACACACACTCTCTGCGGGGCCCTATCAAAGACGGGCCTTTGATGGAGTGGATGTGCATGGGGGAGCACATCTTTGCTTTGATGACGGGTTGGAAGCTGCCGAAGCTTCCACGCTATTAAGTGCAAGTCTGATAGCAGCGTGGATTGCCATTACTGGGGCAGCGAGTCTGTGCATGGACGCTGAGTTTATTGCCGCCGCGGCCCATCAGAGCTGATCAGTTGTTAATCCGGGTTCTCCTGACCTCTCAGCAACCTCTCCCAGTGGATTGTTTTTATCAAAAATGTCAAGTACCAGCTGCTCACCATGAAATAATGCTGGGGAGCAGCCTGCACTATTTGCTCAGGCATTGGGAGGGAGGGAGGGAGGGAGGTCTGCTCTCTGGGGGCGGGTTTCGAAGGGTTTTGTGAACTTTCCTAAATGGTGCAGCCTTGTCTTACACATCTCAGACCAGAGAAGATGATGGCCCACCCCGTCTCTTCACTGTCGGAGGCGGTCATGCTGTCCACGCGAGCACTGTGTGTCCCTGGCAGAGCCCTCCGAAGCCATGGAAAGAAAGTCGTGCCTCCACGCTGGTCAGGATTTCCCAACTCGAGAGTCTTCTCAGAGGCTTCCTGTGTCCTCCTGGGCTTGGGGCCTTGACCTTTGCAGTCCTCTGTGCGAAGTCCCTAAGTGTGGCCTTTGCTGGCTGGTTCCTTACATGAATGTTTTTGTTGTGTTTTGGTGTGTGGGTGTGTGTATGTCCTTAAAAGCTTTTGCTGTGCTAAAGTTTTTCTCCGGTACAGTCAGTTACTTTGACAGGTGTGCTCATCCTGTGGTCCAGCCAGTAGCCTTGATTAAGGCCCACAGTTCCCCATCCCCTGGGGCAGAAGTTCAATATAAACTTGGGACAACAAGCAAATGCAGCCTCTGAATTGAAGTGTGCACGAGCAAACTAAACCACAGAAGCCTGCGTAGAAGCAGCTGGCCCCCAGCCCTGCTGTACTCTGGTGCAGTTCATGAGCTGGAGAGTGACCTTCTCCAGTTTTGGTTCTTTATCACCGGATAGTACCACAGGCCATTTAAAAAGCATAGCTGATGCAAGTAGAGGTCTCCTGAAGTGGAATCTCCTCTCTTAAACTCAAGCTGTGAATTAACACAGGCTTTTAATCCTAAGAAGGAGAACGAGGTCAGAGTTGTTTAAAACAAACCAAAAATCTTTTATCTCACTTGGTGACCTGTGGTTCTCTGTTGAGGCCAAAGGAGGCCTGTCAGCACAGTAGTGGAGATGTGGCAATCTGCTTCCATGAAGATGAAACCCATGGGGAAGGCCGGCACTGCCATGTTGGTTGGGGGTCGGAGTCTGCCCTACAACAGTGGGCCCGTGTCTTGATGAGGAACCGGCATCACAGTTTGGGGAGGGGAGGAGAGGTCCTGGCTGCAGTCACCGTAGCCACTGTGGCTTTGCAGACGAGGAGGCCTTTTCTAGCGAGACTCAGAGAGCTGTCTTCTGCCTTCGCCTTCTCCCTTCCTCTCTCAGAGGCTTCTCCACTGGCAGGGACCCGGCCAGCCCACC